ACTTGGGAATGACTGCCATCAATATAGAAAGGTGAGCAGAGCTCTGTGTGGCCTGCAGCCTGTTTAACCTGCTGTTACTGGTCTTGTTGCTTGACAGCCAAACAACTGCAAACTGAGGCATCAAAGTAATTGAACCTCCTTCTCTGTGCTTGTGTTGCATCTTTGTCATTTGGCCATCTGAACAGGTGTACAGACACTACCTAAGGGGCATCTCATAGCTTGTACTGAACATAAGAAATCAAAGTCAGTTACCTAGTTCAAGGAACATTAATGTTCCCTCAAGTTTCTTATGCTCATGGGCAGAGTAGAGACTGCTTATGAAAGTCCAGTGTGTTCAAAATGAGTGGTCTTAGCATCTGTGTGCATTTTTTTCTCAGAGCAAGTGAATTCTGTGTCATACTCCAAGGCCCCTAGTCATAATGCATGGTGCCAAAAGTTGGAAGAGGCAGCTCCAAAAATATCTCTCTTTTGTACTTTGAAAAGATTTTAGAGTGGCTGGTTTCATGTATTTGCACTCTTCACTTTTTTATTAGATTTAGAAGTTTCTTCAAAAGTAACTATTAATAACAATGAATATATATATATATTCATATTTGATATGTAGGGAAATATTTTATTGAGGACACTTGACACTTGAGGAGCTTGTTTTCATAAGCCCTTTATGAACTTCCTCAGCTTCTCTCCCACTCTCAGCCCTACAGCATGGTTGCATGGCCCCCCCCCCCCCCCGTCTCTCTGGCTGTGCTGTCATTGCATAGTCCCCCATTGTGGTGCTCTACTTTCCCCATTTTAACTGTGACACCACTGTTAATCCACCTTCTGTGAATAGCTCTCAGATCTTTAGTACTCGTCTGTCCTAGCAGGTCCTGGGCCACTTCCTACCAGCTGGTCATTTGTGTCCCTAGCTAGTCCAAAAGTATATATATTTAGCACAACATATAATTTACCACATAGCAAAGCACCTAAGTGTCTAATTAGTAGCTGTAGGATGATAAACATAAATTTGTGTAAAAAGTGTGCTTGTATATGTATCAGTTGTCTCTTTTTTCATTCTGAAGTCAATGGGGAAAATACTTTAACATCTACTCTGAAATTCCATAAATACTGAGCATATGCAGAATTCTTCACCTAATTACTACAAGTTATTAGTTTAGTGTAAACTTTCATTGATGTGGGTTTGAATTCTAGTTTGGAGACTGTTACATATGTAGCAGTGACATGGGTTGGAATTCTAGTTTGGGGACTGTTACATATGTTGTATATGTTTGCAGTTCTCTCCTGAACTACAGAGGCAGGTAACAGAAGTCAGTTTTGCATCGGCATTCATATGAGATAGCTGTTCTCATTTCTGAATGCTAGATTGTAGAGGAATTTTAATCCAGCAATGCGGCAGCTCTTGGGGATCACATCCAAAGACCTTCTAGGTCTGTGTCGTCTGGCTGGAATACAGACATAACCTTAATACATACATACATACCTTTAATCCAAACAATGAAGGTAAAGTTGGTTTGTAAAAGGAAGCAGCTATGTTTGAAAGTGACATCTGATTGAGGAGCCAACAAAGTGACAAATCAGAGAAATATTTGACAGAATGAATCAGAGATAGCAAGTGACCAACTCTTAATAGGACAGCACAAACACAGGAAAGAGGGGTGACTCAGCAGCAGCAGCAGCAGAGAGAGAGAGAGAGAGAGAGAGAGAGAGAGAGAGAGAGAGAGAGA